AAAAATTAATGATTTGTTTTGGCTGAAAAAATATATAATGATTGAATAACATATAATAATTTCTTTGCTTTTTTAAAAAAATAAAGGAAAGTAATATTCCGTATATAAACATGAAATTAATTTTCAGCTTAGGGTTATATTCATTTTTGTTCAAGTAGCAGTAAATTTTATTTAAAAATAGAAAAATAATTATCTTTTATTCAAGCACTTGACTCATTTAAAAATTCTACAAAAAAATCATTTAATGTTTCCAAAATGTGAAAATTTAACAAAAAAATAATAATTAGGTAGTGCATTCATACTTTTTAGTATTAATATCATCGTTTGTCATTTGTAGCACTACAATTATTTTAATCCTATATAGCATAATAGCACTACATGTTTTGGCTTCAAACTTGTACATATATCGAGAGTTATACTCTCACTATTCTTAATTATATAAGAGAAAATTACCGCATGGACACATATCAAGAAAACAGTTAAAATTAATTAATGTCTGAAAATTGATTCCATTTTCCATCTATACCCTTAGTTGATACTCAACATTTCATCTTTCCAACTTGCTGCAGAGGAAAGCTTGCTCTTGAAATTAAAATAATTTTGATATAAAATTTAACATGCAAAATTTATAATAAAAATACTCATATTGCAGTTTCCAAAAAAGAAATGCTCCTCAAAGCTGGACTTAAATCATTGTCTTTTAAGATAATTTCCTTTATCAATAATAATCTGGAGCCATGTCTCTTATTAATATTCCTGTAAAGTCTGAAATGAGTTGCATGATTTAGAGCCCATTTGTTTGAACTTATTTTATAAAAAAATCACTTATTTTTTAAAAAAATTAATTTTTTGAGTTTTAATTATGTTTATTTAAAATTTTAAAAATAATAAAAATTAAGAAAGCATATTTTTTTATTATTTCAAGAAGCTGTTTTAAGTAGTTTTTGAAAATAATTTGATGCGGTAGATGAGAAAAAATGTTTTATTATTTTAATGTCATAAAATTTTAAAATAAAAAAATAAATCATTTTGATAAAATAAAAAATAAAGAAATCATAAAATTTAAAAATAACTAATGAATAATCATTGTTTTATCATTATAAATAAACATAAAAATGATATTTATTTTTTATAAAATATCTACAAAACAAATATCTGTTTATAAAATATCTAATCTATCTAAAAATTACTTATTTTTAATCTCAAACAAATGGGCCTTTAAATTTTATGAATGGTATAATTCTTTTAAATTTTAAACTATATATTAATATATTGGTTATATAAAATTCATAAGGAAATTGTATTATTTATAAATTAAAACTTGCGACAAGTTAAACATGTTTCTTTTATTTCCATAGACTCAGAAATTCACATATCTATCTACTAAATATATATATATATATATATATATTAATATATATTATATGGAATTACCTAGTTTATTTAATTTCACAGTGGGAACACCATCACGTCTCTGTATGCTTGGGAGTTAACTTGAAATACTTTTAAGTATATAAATGGTTAAAGTATATTTTTAATCCTCTAACTTTATATAAGATTTTAATTTAATTTTTTAATTTTATAAAGTATTTTTTAGTCATTTAACTTTAACATTGTTTGTTGCAAATGATTATTTTTTGTGTCAATCATTATTATTTTTAAAAAATTAAACTTAATAAATTAACATTTGAGAATATTTTATCAATATTTAAAAGTTTAATGTAAAAATTTGTTAAGATAAAATTAGTAGTATTAGAGTTAAAAGATTAAAAAGATACTTTATAAAATTAATGAATTAAAATAAAATGTTGTATAAAGTTGAAGAATTAAATTTATACTTTAACCAATAAAACTTTAGATACCTAAATTAATTTTTTAGTGCTTAAGGGTGTGTTTCGTTTGAAGGAAGGAAGAAAAAGAGAAGAATTTTTAATGATATTTTGTTTAATTAAGAAGGGAAATGGAGGTCAGGTGATAAATAATTGACTATTATATCTTTATATGATGATTTTTATTTGTTTATTTATTTCTTATATAAATTAGTTATACATCTTAATTCAAATTGTTTAATGTATGTTAAATTCAATTTTTTCCTATATATTTCTAATAAATGCATGAAAATTAGTATAAGAATAAAAAAAAATTGAATCTCAAGAGCCTCTCCCGTCCCTATCAAGGGGCATGAGGGAACACCAAAAAGTAATAAACACACAAAAAATATTTTTTAATTAAAAAGCATTTAAATAGGGTTAAATGACAATTAGAATGCAGAATTATCAGCTCAGAAGGAGTTCAAACTCTAAATTCATATTAATATATTTTAAATCTTAAATAATTAATTTGGAGCAAATTTTCCTTGCCGTTTAGTTCGCATAGATGCTCATTACTTTTTTTAAAAAAATGGAATCAGATATGCAATTCCCACTATGTCAAATCACACTATTATCTCCCCCTCTCCCTGTGCAGCAACTCATTGTGCTCCAAACCAAATCCTTCATTGCCAATTAAATTACCGTTTCTTCACTGAATCCCTTCGTCACTGCTTCTAGTTCTCTGTATGTGAACACTTGACCTCCGCTGAATTTAGGAGCTGCCGGTGCTGGCCTGAAGGGCTGGAGTCAGGAGAGGACCAGCAAGGAATACAGCGCCACAAGCTTTTTAATTTTTTTAATAAAATATAAGAGTTATATATTTTTAACCCTTCTAAGTTAGCACATTATAAAAGGTTCGAGACATTGTATAAAATTTTTATTTTAATTCTATATGTAATTTTTTACGCATGTATTATGTATAGTCCAACTACTTAAGTAGCTCGAAAGTATAATTGTCATAGGATCTATTAATTTTTAATAAGATAATACTATACTTGCTCTTAAAATGTTGATTTATTTGATTTTTCTTTCATTTTATATTTGATGAAAGAAATTATGAGAATTATTACTAACAAAATTTGTCAAGCATTGCAACAAAAATTGTAAAATATATTGAATGCTATATGCTTGATATCTACTATAACATCACTTATACAAAAAGTTAAGAGATTATGGTTAAAATATGTTCTTCTAGAAAAAAAATAATTTTTCTGTAATAGCTAACCAAATTATTGGAATTTATTATAGGAATTGTTTTTACCATGACATAATTAGATTTCATCGATATAAAAAATTTGTGACAATTGAGCATTATTACTGTGTTGATATATTTATTTACTACAATTATCAATTGACAGAATTAAATAGTAAATTTACTTAATAAGTAATAGAGCTTTTTAGATTAAACATAATTTTAAATCTCAAAAATATATTTAAATTATTCAATGCTGATAGAAAAGATAAAATTTTTACTAATTTAATAACAGTTTATATTGAGGAAGAAATTATTGAAAGTTTATTATAGATATGATAATTAATTATTCTTATGCCATGAAAAATCAATGAGCAAAACTTAAAAAATAAAGATGTATATTTATTAGTGATATATATAAATTTTACTTTTTTTTTTATTAACATACATGCTTTGTCATCTCAGTTCTTCCTAATAAAATTTTCTAACTTCGCCTTTATTGGCTTGCTCATATGTCCTTCATAAACTTGGGGCAGCGGCTGGGAAGGAAGATGATGAGTGAAATGGTGAGGAGATGCATGATGATGGTATTGAATTCTTCAATAGCGGAAAAACTGATATTGAATTCTATAATCGCAGAGAACACAGTTAGCCAAGAAAGAAGAGATGGATTCGTTTGATAGTTAGGACAAAATGGACGTTGGGGCATTAGGGCGGGGAAGGAGTGATAAATGAGGGTAGGGGAGAGAGAGCAACTTGACACTAATAGTATGGACATTTATGCCAACTTAATGATAAGGGTGAAATCATTTCAAGTTTAATTGCCCAAAGTTCAGAATAGACTAAATACGAATTTATGATTTAAATTGCCTCTAGACCTATAAATTAAGGTCCAAATTGTTTTTTAGGCCATTAAATAAAGATTAAATAATGAAAAAATGACATTAAAACCCCTTTAAATTATTTAAATTGATATTTTAGTCCTTCAAAATACTATAATTCTTTTAAAATCTTTAGAGACTTTTTTGTCATTAAAGAATTTATATAAAAATCCCAAGCCTCTTGATTCAAACAAAAATCCCAGGCCTCAGACAAGTTTTGTTTCAAGATTCACAACTTCTCTTTCTAAAATCATAAGAATTTAACTACAATTCATAAGTTCGTATTTAAAATTTTAATATTCTTTAAGTGTTGCAAATATCAATTGTCATTTATAAGTTTTGTTTCAAGATTCACAATTTTATTTTTAAATTCATAAAAATTCAACAATTTACAAGTTCACATTTGAAATTCTAATATTTCTCAAGTATTGTAAATATCAATTTTTATTTATAAATTTTGTTCTAAAATTCACATTTTTCTTCTTAAATTCACAAGAATTCAACAGTAATTCACAAGTTTGTATTTAAAATATTGATATTCCTCAAGTGTTACAAATATCAATTGTCATTTACAAATTTTATTATAATATTCACAACTTTTTTTTTCCTGCAAAATTGTAAGAATTCAATAACAATTCACAAATTTGCAAGTATATCTTCTAAGGTTGGGGATTTTTATTTTAATCAAATATAATTTAATCTTTTATATTAATTTTTTAATGATAGAAAAATTTTTAAAAATTTTAAAAAAATTATAACATTTTGAATGATCAAAATATTATTTACATAATAAAAAAATTTTATTATCATTTTTTCTTAAATAATTCCTTTCAAACTTCTTTCTGGTAGAAAAAAATAAAAAAACATAGACAAAATTTATGTGAGCAAAAACAAACGGACCCTTTACTTTTTCTTTTTAAGTTCTCCGACAGTGAAATGGTAGAGAACAGAATATGAAATTAAAATAGTGGCTACAGAGGAAACATCAACTTGCCCATAAAGGGGAAAAAAAGCATATATATTAATTTCTTTTAGAAAGCCATTAATGTACGAACCGCGAAAGCTGAAGAACAAGAGAGAAGAAGAAGTCTGATGCGATATTCATAACACAAGTCTCTTCAATACCTACCAGGTTGGATCCTTTATTTTCTGGAGCTTCGGTTTCACTTTCCTTCTTCTAAAATGGCTTTATTTGGAGGTTTTATTTATTTTTGGTTCTTCACCCTCAGTAACTTTTGGTTTGAGGTTCATTTCGAAACACTCGATTTTTTTTTCCTCTTTTCTCGCTTTCCATTTTTCAACTACTGGTAGCTGAGTTTCTCTTACCTAATTTGGTCGTGAAGACATTACTTCAAAGTACTCTAACCTTTGGACTGATATTGTTGAGTTGGAAATTCTTCAGTTCGATATATTGGACTTTTTTCAATTATTTCTTGTATTCTTTCAAGGTCACTAATCTTTCTATAGTTCATATTTTTAGCAACAAAAGCAACATTTTCTCACTTCTTTCCCGATTCTCATCTCTGATCTGTCCGTTCTTGGTGGGACACTTGGATTTTGTTAAGAATAGTAGTGTGAAACCCACTGGATTTACTGCATGTATAATAGCCTCTCCATTTATCAGTTCAAGTACAGTTTTACCCCCACTTTGATTCTGCTGATACATATGTATATGTAATTTTTTGACTGTATAATTTACTGTATTTAATAACCATGTGTTACGGATGAAGAAGAGGGGAGATGACGAGAAGGAAAATACAGATAAAGAAAATAGACAGTGTAACAGCAAGACAAGTGACTTTCTCAAAGAGAAGGAAAGGTCTCTTCAAGAAGGCACATGAACTCTCAACTCTCTGTGATGCTGAGATTGCTCTCTTGGTCTTCTCTTCCACTGGCAAGCTTTATGACTATGCTAGCTCAAGGTTCGTGTGTGTGTGTGTGTGTTTTATCTCTTCCTCGCACTTTCATTTTGAACACACACACACACACACACACACACGTACAGAGGGATATTTAATTGGGGGGGGGGGCGTGAGAGAGAGAGAGAGAGAGAGAGAGAGGTTTCCACAATATCATCGTGAGTGATTTAAGAATGCAATATGAAACTGTGTGAATGCTCATCATCATCATCATCATCATCATCATCATCATCATCAATGTGTGCGCGTGTGTATTTGCGCTTAGCATCTCTCACTTTGTATGATCTATAAAACTAGCTAGCTAGGAGCATATGTTTTGAATTTTATTGTATAACTTCTTAATCTGATAATACAGCAGCATTTCTCATCCGCTTGATAAGGGGCTTTTGTAATAACTCCATGATCTTCCTCGTTTAACAAATTGAATTCAAAGGGCTAGAATTATAGGTTGACCACTAGTTAGAATCTACATGATTTCTTTTTATTTATTAATTTCTAACCTTAAAGTGCAATGTTAGTGTTTTAGTATTGTTGTTTCTGTTAAGTAATAACTAAAGGGTCGACGAATGAATAAATATTTTTATAGATTTGATGAAGTAATTGAATCATGATTAGCATCCGCCCAGTTGAAGGTTCTGAGTAAAACCATTGGGATTCTGAAGAATTTCATTATTTAGTTTGACATGTATAAAACTGTGCTTAATGATATGATCTTTTGCATTAACTGATTTCAAGGAATAAAATGGATAAAGGCACTCAAATGAGTTACTGTTTTTTTTTTTTTTTGGTTTCAGTATTCAGCAGGTAATAGAAAGGTATGATCAACATTCAGCCATTCAAATACAAGGCAAACCATCTGTTGATCTGCAGGTAATCAATGATTAACATCAATCATCAATATATTTATATTTATAGAAAGTTGTTCTATTTATTAGCTGTTAACAATATACCATCTCTTATGTTTTGTACAAATAAACATATGCGGCGGCCTACCCTGTTTACTTGACTTCTTACTTTTGTTTTTCTATTTTGGATAACATACTTAACTCCTAGTTTCTCTAAATTATGACTTACGCACCCCCCCAAATGATATCTTAATTATGACTACTGAATAACTAAGTAAACACTTACCAAATGAACAATGAACCAGAGGGGAAAAAGGATCTGCTTCAGTAATGGGGGTTGGGTCCAACAGGAGGAGTTAGTCCCTCACAACTTGACGAATCTAGGTTTAAATTCTTGCCAGGAGAGGTTCACATTTAATGTCCGGCCATGCCTTGAATAGGATTACCTCCACTAGTAGGACACTTGTGAGCAATAAGGAAAAAAAAAAGGATCTAATTCTTTGGAAGAATTAAACTCACTGAAGAAATTACGTTCATTATACCTATAGTTCCCTCCCTCTTGATTCTTTATAATTTGTTGTCCATAACTTCCTTTTCTTCTCTCTCTTCCCTTGAAGATATTTCCCCTTCTAGATTGATCAGGTGCCAGGATAATAGGGTCTAATGTTATGAACAAAAGTGAAACTGAATTGCCCTACAGAAAACCCTAGGTCCTGAATTAGCTGCACAGGAGAGCTAAAAAGAGCATTTCTTTGAGGGGCAACATAATGTTGAAATCAATTTATGATAATATATGAAGTAATGGATATGAAATCATAATAGGCTAATTTTCTCAAGTCTTTTTGTATCTTTCCTTTGTTTTTTTTTTTTCTCCTTTTGAAATTTGTACAAGCTCGAAGGTGATGAGAAGGAGCTGCACAAGGTAGTAGTAGCAGAAAAGACTCGTGAATTGAGGTGGACAACTTCATACTATACATACCACGCATGAACGTTCACATGATTATTATGTTCCTAAGACACATGATGATTTGCGCTAGAAATTATTTCAACAGGCAGCTGAATGGGGAAGAGCTTCAAGGATGCACACGAAGAATTGCAGACACTAGAGGAAAGACTTGAAAGAGGCTTGTCCCGTGTTTCAAAAACAAAGGTTTCAATTTGATCCATTTTGTGCTTTGATCTTCGTCCTCTCTAAAGTTTGTCAAGTTCTAAGCAAATTTCTACCATCTCCATCCCAAAACGTTAGTCATTTTATGTCATTAAATGTTATCTTTTTAAATTTTCCCCATGAGATATTAATAGAGATATATCATTAATAAGAGAATATATTTTAATAAGGGCTATTCAAAATGTTCAAGTAACTTTTGTAAAGTTAAAGATGTTCCATTAACTAACTTTAACCAACTTTATTGGTTTGGGTAAAATTAAAATTAGAGTAACTTGCATTTTGGGAAAGGAGGAATAATACTTTGTCATACTCCATCTATTAAAAAATATAAGATATTTTTAACTAAGTTATACTTATAATGAGTTGGTTAATTATCTTTAAATTGATACTATCTTTTCATATTTATCCTTATTTAATTGGGTGGATTACTTAAAGGTTAATGGTTGAGTGATTTATTTTTTAAGAGTACTTGTGGAAAAAGACTCATTAATTACACATTGGATAACTAAAATTCCTTATATTTTTAAATATTTAACATCAGAAAAAATGCCTTGTATTTTTTGATTGTAGGGAGTATGAAATTTGTATTCTTCATTTACTTTTAGGAATTGAATGCAGAAGAAATATAATATCTTTTCATCAATCATGCATCAATATAATAGTCACTATATCTTGTTCACGAGCTAAGTTATGAGCAATATGGCTTCCTACATTTTGCCCTATGACTTCTTTTAATGTTCTTCCACAAGATTCTGTATATTTCTTTAAACCTACATTATTGCTGATGCAGAATCTACTTGATGATGTGCACATTTTCTATTTTGGAAATCTATTTTTGGTACTTATCAAACTTCTTTATATTTGTACATTTTAAAAAAAGTTAACGCCTTTACTGTGCATAAAAAATATACCTAGTTTAGTGATTATAACTGCTAGTTATCTTTCGCTGTGTGAAGAAATTGGCCTGTTTTCTTCCTTATCCTTTACCTTTATGAGTTGTGATTTTGTATAGTTATTGCATCCAAGCTCTTGAGTTGACATTTTTACTATGATTATATATTGTTTCAGGATGAAAGAATCTTAAAACAGATCAATGCACTTAAGAGAAAGGTAAATACTGCGCCAAACTTAGAATTTTAGGATATGCTATATCTATATCTACATGTGCCAAAGAATGTTAGGATCTATGAACTTCTCTTTTTATCAACTGATTATATATAAGCAATATTGATGTGTGCAGTAGCTCGTAAAATGAAATCTCATTATATAACTTATATTTCAAGAAGCAGGAAAATATTTTATGTCAATTTTATCGAAGTGTATTCAATACATTTAAGTCACTTGAAGTAGTTCCAAACATAAAATGGGTCTTTCACAGTATTGTAGAAGGAACAATAGGAGAAAACAAAACCATTGAAGAGCTTGATCAAAAACTACTTGACTTTTTTGTTTTTTGTTTTTTGACTTTGAAAAATTGAAGTAACTTGGATTGAATCTTAGTAATTGTGCATGCTGTAGCAAGGATGTTTTGTTACTTACAATCCAATCATGTATTTTAAGTCATCTTCAAAGGATTTTACCCACTGCTTGATGAAAATTTCGACTTGACTTCGAAAACTACTTAACTTTACTCCTTTAGTTTATTTATATAGTAGCAATTAACGTATGTGAAATTAGTGCGCATACGCCACTCTTTTTATAATCTTCATTTTGAATTATTAGAAACTTTTAACTAATTTATACTCTCCATTAAGTCAGTTAACGGGATTCAAAATTGCAGATTCTTTCTATATTTACTTTTATTTAATAGGTTGTCTTAATTAGAAAACCTTATTAATTACATCTTTAATTAAGGGTATTTTTGAAAAACTGTATTAATTATACCTTAAAAGATTTGTCTTGTATTTTTTAATATGATACTTCAAAAGCAAAGTCTTATAATACGAACAAAATGGAATGCACAGAAAGGGTCACTTATGAGTATTCATAGTTGAATTATCAGTTCTACGAGAATCCCTTTTTGAGTAGTATTTTCCACGAAATGGGGTAATTCTTAGAGATTTGATTCTTACTCTTCTCTTCACTTATGACACTAAAATTTGAAAATTTCCCATGATGAGAAAATTGAGATCCATATTCTGACAAACTAATGTATGTGATTTCACTAATACATAACGGATTTCAAGAAAAACTCAAGTGATGCTTTTTATGACACTGGCAATGTTCCACGTACACTCTCAGTCACCTTTGCTACTGCAATATGTTTGACTTTCATGTACAGGGAATCCAATTCATGGAAAAAAACCGAATAATGAAGCAGGTGATCACAGATTTTCAGACTCTTATCCTCTAAATTATTGCCTCTCTTTTCAGATGTTATGAATTGAAAGTCTTGTAACACAAAGATACACTTGAGATTTATATGTACAGAGCCTTGTGCATTATTTCTTGAATTTAACTTTTATTTAAGTTTTTCCAAGTTATTCCAATATTTTCTTATGCAGTATGATTTTTTTTTGAGTAATTCTTTAGTGTGATTTTAATCAATCTTGAACTCATGTGTGCGAAGTGGCTACTTAAATTTAAAGCTAAATAAATTAGTATATCAATTAGTGTGAGGGGAACAAGAATGTCATCAAAGTCATATCATTATATCAATATAAATTAATACTAACGATAAAAATAAATTTTCCAACAATAGTTAATTTGTAAAATTTTGAGAGTCATATATGTGATTTGGTAAGCCAGGGTACCTTAATGATGACTACTCTAAGCATGAAAATATTAATTGTGATATGTTATAAGGTGATAAGTGATCTCAAAGTTAGATGGGAGCGTTTCTTAACCAAGAGGAATGGACAAACAAGAGCTACATGGACTAGAGTAATGTTTTTGAGCCTTCAAGGGAATGTCCCATTTAAATTTAGATATATTTTGATCTATGTCTATTTTGATATGATAGAAAAGTTTTTAATGGAATCAAATCAGAATTAGAAGTAAAATAGATTTGAGTTTTAAAAATATGTTTGTTTTTTAGATAAATTCTGAATATAATTTTATTTGTTAAGTGTATTTAAAATGTATAAAGACTTTAATGTCCCTTTCAAAATTAAAGGAAAAAAATTCTCATTGTTGCCCTTCTCTTTGCTTGATTCATTAGAGCATTGTCAGTGACAATGATAGGAGAGAGATTAAAGGTAGTGATGAGAATTCCTTAAAATAAAGCCAATTCCATCTGATGGAAATTGGATTCAAGGCATTTGGCTAAATAGAGATTCTTGAACATTTGGGTTGATGTATACTAAACTACTCAACTTCATGATTTTGGTTCCATTTTTGTTTCTCTTCAACCAATTCTAGCTAGATGACCAAATATAACCTAATTTTCAAACATAATTTCCATAGCATTACAAAAGAGACTATCTCTCAATGTTTTTCTCTCCTATAGTTTCCCTTGTGAGAGTGGGTCGTCATCAGCCTTGCGGAGTGTGCTCTACCAAGGCTTCCCCCTGTCCTTCCTTGTCGGAGGGCTCTCCACGTGATAGCGACATGATTGAGAAATCTCTTTTCTTAACTCATGTCAGGTGAGAGCAAGTGGAAGATTTAGTGTTTTAGGTTGGGTGTGTGTGTAGGTCTAGGTGCATGCATGGAGGAAATAGACAGATTAAAGGTGGGAGGCAACCATCATATTGGGAACTAATTGTTCGTTAAGGTTGGGCCACAAGTGGGTAGAGTATGGAGATACTCTATTTGCATGGAAATGGTGGATGATTATCTTTGTTGGGTGCCGTTTGATTTTGTATTAGTTAGATTGGATTTGAAGATTAGGAAAAATAGGTTCATGACAATAATGGAGGTGTTGGTGCTTGAATTTCAAGGTACGATGATTGATGTTAGATGCAAGTTGATTAGTCAAAAGTCTTATGGATAGAGGATATGGGATTGAATGTACTGAGGTTAATGTTTTAATTAATTCATAGTTTTGAATCCTATTCTTTATTGTATAATTCTTTTTCTCATATTTACTTTACAGTCTATACTTGCTTGATATGAAATTGTTGGATAGACTTGCATGACTATTTTTGGTTAATGTTCTCCTATACGTTAGAAGCTACTCTTGATATATGGCAACAAGCCTTGTCCCACTAAGTGGAGAGAAATTACATACTCTTGACATAAAGGGGATTTTCACAATCTAGGGTACTAAACAGAGAACACAGATATGTCCCATATATACTAAACCCTTTTATTATTCTATCTTATTCCATCCCTTAGAGCTAGAATTAGTCAAAATTTGAACTCAAAACTAAGTGATTGGCAACTACTTTTTATTCTATTGAAGAATGTAGAACTAGGAATAAAATAAGAATAGGGATTCATGTTGAGCCATCCTTCTTAGCCTCACGGCATCAATTGAATCGGCAGACACAAAGACGAAGACAAAGACAAGCTAAGATGTAAAGTAGTAGAATGGAAAAGGACGGTAGCCCACCTAAGAAAGCACATAGAGTAAGGTTGGCTCTATCCATGAGAGGAAAACTATATGGTCATGGCTTTCCTTTTAGATAGATTGTCAACCAATTTACCCATACCTCTATTATTGCAAGGGTGAAATCCAATCCATTACATTAGGATTGAAACATGAGAACCTCGAGAACCAAAGATAGAGGAAGATATAAGCAATATAACATATTGAAATATGAATAGGAAACTACATTTAAAGAGAAGAGAGAAGGCCAGGCCAAAATGATATTGCCATTCCTCAATTAGAGCTAAAAAGGGAAAGGAGTGAAATAAAATAAATAGGATAGGCAAAACCTTGAAATAAATCCAACCTTATGAAATAAACCAAAAGAGCAATAATCGGTTAAGCACTTTTGATTTAAGCAATAGTAGGGTGTGCTAATCCCCAACCTAAGGAAGTGTCAACAAAGGGAGAAGTCTTCTCTTTCATAGAAAGAGAGGAGATCCACCTTTTAGACTTGGGGGAAGTAGAATTCCTAATGCGGGTACAAAGGGTCATCCAAAAGCGCTGAAAGGGCTGGAGGTAGGAGGCAGTCTTCCCTTTTAAAAAGATAAGGTGCATCAGAAAGGATCTAATTGGAACTTATTCTCTTAATTGTAGCATGTGTGAGAATGAACTCTATTTCAGCTCGATCTAAGTAGTTGCGTTTATCTAGTATTATTAGAGGATTGCTTTATTATGCTTGAGGTGGGTTCTATTTTTAAGTTGGAGGTGTTATAAGTTTGACAGAGTTTTTAGATTTGCAATAAAGTTTTATGACTCTTTGATTATTCAAATTATATCAGATTCTCTGAATTCATATTGGATGGCTAATGGTTGGGTCAAGAACTAGAATCAATGTAGAGAGTTCGTATAGCAGACTGATGGAATCTTCAAATGAGAGGCTACGTGAAAGAGGTGATTTGGTGGAATATTCTTTGTTCAAATATGTGTTGCTTGCTTTAGACTTTATTTTGAATTGCTGTTTTGAGAATAGTCTTGTAGAGGTCTTGATTCATTCTAATTTATCTTTCACTTGTTCATATTGTTAAAGAAGAAATTTCTTGATTGGAGTTGTGTAATTCTAGTGGAGGAATTTATTAATCTTGAAAAAATTCTCGGCTAACTCTCATTGCTTCAAGTGAATTTTAGTACTTTATAATTGAATTATTGTTTAATATGCTTGACCTATATTTAGAAAACAGTATGGAAAAGATTGTGCGTTACAACCCCTTCTCCCTTAGTAAATATCCTTGCTAATGGCTTGTTTATGCAGGATTAGGATGTCACAAAATTTTTGTCAAAATTATTTAGTTTTCACTTGCAAAAAATGCTAACTTAATTCTCAGCCCCCACTATTATGTAATTTTGCATTTTGGTCCCCTCACAGCATCTATGGCTGGGAATTCCTATCTATGTTTTCTTTGTTCCTTCAGTCCTTTAGCTCTGCTGTTGCCAGCTACGCTTTTTTTTTTTTTAATACTATTTTTTCTTTTGTACTGCTACTTTCTGTTTTTGAATATTGGGGGGTGAAAAAAATCCATTGCATTAAAATCATTTTTTTCTTAAAATTCAACTTGCAAATGATCAGTCCTATCCAAGTTCAATTTCACCCAACTCTAAACTGAACTAAACAAACATCCGTACACTACAACGCAGTTGCGTGTGTGGATTAATTTGAATTTGAATTTGAATTTAAAATTCCGTGCAAAATGGATTGAAAGCAAAAATTAGTACGACGGAACGTGTACGACGTGATTAATATAGTGTTTGACATAGTTATGGCGGCAGAGACTATCCTGTTTAGGCCCATCAAGAGTACATGTTACCACATTGCTAATTATTCATTTTTTATTGAAATATGTAGTTTATTTATAATTCGAAAAAGAAAAATATAATTAAACTTACCCCCATAAAAGGCAAAACCCAATCGCTTTAATTGCACGCACCACTGATTGCCAGCCGTGTGGGGACCACATGTAACTATCTATAATAACGCCACCTGGGCCATCACATCTGAATAGTACAGGAAAACACCAAACTCATGATACACGTGGACACACACACAAATATAAAATGATACTTTCTTCATTTTTTTTAACGTATTTCTATTCATTTTATAAATACTAATATAATAAAAATATAACAAATAAAAATAAGTAAAATTTTAATATAATTTTTAAATAAAAGATATAAATAAAAATATATATAATATCATTTTTAATCTTTTTTCTTTTATTTTTTAATAATAGTTTAAAAATTTTAATTTAAAATAAAATAATTCGTGTTTTCAGAAAGCGATTAACATACAAAACTGAGAGTATCATAGTATAATTTATTTTAAGCCAATCGCATGTAAGGCCGGGATTTCTCTTGTATTGATTGGCTATCTAAAAGGCAATGCCTGTGCCCATATAAAGCTGCAATTAATGAAATTAATTTACTCAAAAGGAAAATATAAAAGTGAAGATAAGGTACCAAGGTTTAAAATAAAAAAAAATAATACAGGCAAAGCCTGTCTGCCGTCTCCTCCAGGACCAAGTTTCCTCAATCTCACCAAGAAGTTCCGTTTGCTCTCCTCTCCAAGACTCTCTCTCTCTCTCTCTCTCTCTCTCTCTCTCTCTCGATCTCGATCTCGATCTCGATCTCGACACAGTCAGCCCATTGCGGAATATTCTGGTAAGAACTAAGAACTTTTCCACCATTTCATATTTATGTTCTCTTTCCTTTCATAGATCTGCAGTTATATCCTGCGTCTCTCTCTCTCTATATGATTATCTGTCTCGTTTTACACCCAGAGCATAATATTCTGCATAATTATTCTTTTTATGAGACTGGATTATTTTGTAGATTTCCCTAATTTCTATAATTTTGATTTGAATCTGTGTGTGTTTAGTTTGAAATGACGAGAAGAAAGATAGCAATAGAGAAAATAGAGAACGTAGCAGCGAGGCAAGTGGCTTTCTCAAAGAGGAGGAAAGGTCTGTTCAAGAAGGCCGTGGAGCTCTCTACTCTCTGTGACGCTGAGATTGCACTCTTCGTGTTTTCTGCTTCTGGCAAACTCTTTGATTACTCTAGTACAAGGTATCCTCTCTCTCTCTCTCTCTCTCTCATTTTCTCGAGATTTGAGAACCACTTAATAGGCCAAATAATTCAGATCCAAATTGCTTCCATTGTACTTTTTCTCACGGTAAGAGGAAAAACCTGAACCGTATATATACATATATATGCTGATAAAAAAAGGTGTGATATCGTCCATACGTTTATTGGGTCTTTATCCATGTGTGTCCATACTCAGTAATTTAGGTGGATCAGAATATTAGACTCAATCTAAATTAGATTTATTTTTACAAAGAGCTTCAGGAGAGTTAGTCTTTTAAAAGCACTCTTTTATATAAATATTTTTTTATTTTACTCTTTTAAAGTTTTTTTTAAAAGAACGTAGTCCTTTAAAAAAATGCTCCTAAAATATATAAATATTTTTAAATTTATTTATTTTACTTATTCGGAGCGCTTTTTAAAAGAGTACTTTAAAAGAGTTAATTCTTCAAAAATATTCTTTTAAAAGAGCGCTTCTAAAGGATATCAATATTTTTTTTAATTTTTTTATTTTACTCTTTTGAAGCGCTATTTAAAAGAACACTCTGAAAGAATTAGTTCTTTAGGAGCGCTCTTTGAGGATATCAATATTTTTTAATTTTTTACTCTTTTAGAGTGCTTTTTAAAATAGCGCTATGAAAAGCCTAATATACAAAAGCACTTTTTTAAGGAAGCACTCCAATATATTTTGCCTCACTTTTTCAAAGCGCTTTTTTGATTAAGCGCTTTTAAAGACACACTCTAAAATATGTATTTTGTAGTAGTGTAGAAAGTTCATATAACCAAGTTTAACCTTAACTTTTTTCAATGGGCAAAATTATCAACTTTATATACATATAGAGTTGAAAATTTCAACAGATTAGCTTATTTGAGTTGGGTTCAATTTGGATCGAGTTTATTTAAATCGAGCTTAAGGTATCATACTTTCTTAAAAAAGTCTATATAATCAAGTTTGACTTTAATTTTTTTTAAGTGAATTTGAGTTTGGCTCAAATTACTGTGTGGGTGTATCTTAGAATTATTAATTTCATCATGATTGCTTGTCTTGCTTACAAATTCAACTTCTTATATATGCAATGTCTTGACGTTAATTACTGCTACATAAATTCTGAAGTGGATATAGAGTTTGAGCATGGACATGTCAGCTTAACTTACATTAGTCTTTGAACATGCTATGGAATTTGTTGAATGTTTATGTAAAATCATGTGTAGTATCCACTTCTAAAGATTCAAATCCTGCAAAATAATGGTTAGAAATTAATGAAAATATCATATATTCTCTTCATTAAAAAATGTAAAGCATTTTTAGCTTTTTAAGGTATAATTATTGTCTTTTTTTTAAGTGTCCTTATTAATAAATGACTTTATATTTATTGTAATGGTATTTAGTAGGAATAAATATAAAAAAATAAGGTTAATTTAGAAGTAAGTGACTAATTTATTGGAGGGCAAAATTTGGTTTAAAAATATCTTATATTTTTAAATGGAGAGAGTATATCATATACATATGTTGGATGTCTGTAGAAACAATGAATTTCATAAACGTATTTAAGCGATCCATAGGTTTTTATTTATTCCAATATGTTATCTGTCTTTTGTAGATATATGAAGTTTTTCCAAATTTGTGAAAGATTACACTATTTATAAGTCATAAATAATGTTATTTATTAGTTATGAATAATATTGTTTGTCTTAGATTCTATAAAAAAAACAAGGTCTCAAACCTACTATTCAAGCTGCACTAGCACTGCATTTCCTCTCTATATCACTTGAGAGATATAGGCTGCATCTATCTTTTTCACATTGTTCGATCTTAATATTTTTATTTTACTTTTTATTTAAAGTTACTTTTCAATTATTCTGTTAGAAAATTGTGTTTATTTGTACTTTATTTTCTTCAAAATTAAAAATATTAAAAGATCAGAACATTTGAATCGTCTATTTTAATTAACTTAAACTTCCTAAACAATAAAGTACAAATCTGGCAAGCCTTTAATATATTAGAGGCAGATCCAAACTTAATTTTTGGTTCATGATTTCTTTTTGTTGATTAACTAGATTAAAACATTCCAAAGAGGTTATAAAAACATGCTACTAGAACAGACAGGTCATTCTTGTTTTGAAGATACCTAAAATTTTCTAAGGCTATATATTAGCTTATATTAAAAAAATATTGATGTTTGTATGTTATACCTCTTGATGTTTCTCTTATTGTCATCATATATTGATCTTAACTGATTATTGTGCAATGCTTGGCTCATTTATTAAATGAGTTGAATGATTTAATGTTCATCGTGTTGATGGAGTCCAAAATATGATGATCAAACTGATCTTTTGGCTGTTTACGAATTAAGATAAATTAAATATTTAAATGATATTATTTATATTTGAATGAGCCTATGTATGCTGGATTAAGATTCAATTTAGATGAATTATATTACACATTATCACGTATTTATCTCTAAGTAAAACATCTCTCTGTAACGTTTGGCGAAGCCATTTGGAAGAAATTGGTGCATAGATATATGACTAATTGCATATACAAGCATAAATGAATTCTTTATTCAAATTCACCCAATTAAATTTGGCTTCCATTTAAATTTACATTTGATGAACAATTTTAATTGATCAAATAAAAATTTATAAAATTTAGTATAAATCATATTTATCCCATATAATTTGGCTAAAAATAGTTTTCCACCTATAGTATATTATTTGGCAACAAACATGACGTCATTTAATTAAGAGTTGGTGAATGAGAGTAAGAGATTGCTAATCTTTTCTTGTTACCATATCCATAGCCTCCCTTTGTGCAGTACTTAAGTAAGCCTTATTTTAGGGAAAAATTAAAAATAATTGTTTTTTCAGCTTATTTACAAGTCAAAATTCAATATTTACATGTCAAAATTTACTATTTATTTCAAGTATAGTTGGGACCTATAAATAATTAATTTTTTTAAAATGATATATTGTTGATAAATACATGATTAATATTAATTATTCTTGGCTATTCTTTGTTTTAATTAATTTTAAATTAATTTTTTAAAATTTTTAAATAATTCATACCAATTTTTAAGGGAACCAATTTGGTTTCCAACCAATTTTTCTAGCTTTTGACCGATTTTTTTAGGTCATTGACCGATTCTCTTATGGTTGGTTTTGAAGAGTCAATCGAAACAGACCAAGAGTCGGTTTTCAGTTTAACCGGCCGATGTGGTTCAGTTTTTAGAACACTAAATTTTACACAAGCATGCCAAGTTCCATAATTAGTATCTTTGGTAAATCAAGGAAATTAGACAATGACATGCATGGCGCGGCATATTTCTTTTTATAACAAACATGGTTGAGGTCTTGTACCACTAGATTGGAGCAATGTTGAACCTCTTAGCTATTGGTGGACAAAGAATGGAGACAGATTAGTGCAGAAATATAAGGAAAATTCAATTAAAATCACTCTAATTTTTATCTTGAGATATAATAATGTGAAACCAATTTCTAATTAAACAATTGAGTAGGTTGTCTCTTATCATTCAATATATCTTCCAATCATATTCTTTCATTTGATAACTTTTCCATTTGAGACCAACACACCATACTTGACTTAGTAAATTTACTTATAACCAACAAGATAGAGCCACAACATTAACTCATTAAGGCCATGTTTGGTTGAAATGAAGAAGTCTCAAAAAATGGAGGAGAGAGATTATAAAATTCGTCTTAGTGTGTTTGGTAGGTCATAATATATAGCTCTTTGGAAAGCTCAGCTCTCTCAAACATGGGAAGGAGCTTTTCATTAAGATAACTTAAAACTTTCCATTATGCCAAACATGACTTAATTTTAGTTGTGTGTGCATAAAATTGAAGTACACTATTTAGCTATAATTCATTTTTTGTTTCCTGAATTATCATTTCAACTTGTTCAACCAATTGTAAAAGTTTAATTATACACAAAACTAGATTCAAATTTCAAAACTCACCAAGAGTAAGTAATGATATATGCAAATACTTTCTCCTTTCAAAATATTATATATGTCGTTTGAGGTGGTTCGGACATGTACAAAGAAGACCACGGGAATAACCTGTGGGAAGAGTGAAATAAATGACTTTGAGTCCTGTCAAAAAGGTAGAAGAAGATTGAAGAGAATATTTTTAGAAGTTGTTAAGCGAGACTTTTTAATTAACAATATTCATAAAAACTTAATAAATGATAGAGAATAATGACATCATATAATCCATGTAGCTGACCCCACCTAATGGGATAAGGCTTATTGTTGTTGTTCTCAAAATGTGTACTTGCCTTTGCACTAAATAAATATTATTTAAGGTACCATAATATAGTAAACATAATAATATAATACAAACTAATTTGCAACATTTTTGTTGTTTAAAGCATGAGGCAGGTTATTGAAAGGAGAAACTTGTACTCGGATGTGATCCTTGCCAAGTCATGCCAACCATCCCAAGAGGTGCAGGTATAAAATAATTATTTGGAAAAACATAATTATTGGTTCAATAGTTTAAATTTATTTTATTTTTAGTCTCTATAATTTTATTTCAATGTTTTAAGTTCTTATAGGGATTAAAACTACTAAAAAATATTGAAACTATAGAGACCTGAGCGACAAACATCATCTAATCTTGTTGAAAATATAGGAACTGAAAACTATAAGAACTAAAAGCAAAATATAATAAAATTATGGGGATCAATAATTATATTTTTTTAATTATTTTATAAACATAATTGAATTCTTAGAGTACATTAAAAAAGTAATTATTTTATTCTAAGGTATGATAGACTATATACTATACTATAAAAATGCTTAGAGTACACTAAAATGTAAGTTTTTGAATTTGAAAATGTATTTAAATTTACTATCTGAATTATTGTTTGGATTGAACAAGTGAGTCACTGAAAATATTCCTCTAGTTCTGAGTTAATTTTTGGTTAAATGCCTTGTGGATACTCTCCAAAGCAAACAAATGAAGTTTAGACACATTTACCATTTTCTTGCTCTAATATGATGTTATGAGTTACCCAGGCAGATTTCGTTGCCTTGGAAGTGGAAAATGTTTTTGGGCATTAACTTGTTTATTTCGAAATTTTATTATTTTTGTCTAAATATAATATTTACAATTTCAGATATTATTGCCTTATTTGGTTAGATAAAACAAAAGATACTTATTTTCATCAAAAAAAAATTGAATAAAACTTAGGTTAAGTTCCTAATAACGATTAGGTCCATTTATTCAATTCAAGAATTTATACATTTACTATTTTTTTCCCCTTTAGGAGCTAAGTGATGATGTGGAAAAAATAAAACATGTGGCACAATTTGATTGGATAAATGAACCTGATGGTTATAAAGGAACTTGACCTAATTAAGTTTGTCTTAAAAAACTAAGATGGATACAATATTATAATTCATGGTAATCATCTTCGATCTTCGTTCTTTAAAAAAAATTAAACATAAAAGAAATTTCTCATGTACCAAATCATTTTATACTTTATTCTTTTTGTTTCAAACTATAACTAACACACTATAAAAAAATAGCTGATTATTCCATTGCTATTTAGTAAAAAGTTTGTTACAAAATGGTTAGCAATATAATTAGCGACAAAATATTTTTATAGGTAAAAATATCATTATTAATTCATTAACAATGAAATTTGCAATTTCATCACTAATTAGTAGTGGAATTAGTGATGAAATTGTATTCTATCACTAATTAGTGATTGAAAATTTTTTGTCACTAAATAAGAATAAATTGTTTTAAATCCGTTGCAAATTGTTTAAAGGATTTATTCCATTGATAATTTTTAGGCTAATTAAAATATTATTGCCACATTACCTAGTGGACCTGTGCCACTTCAACACCACCTCACCGGCGCCTCACCACCATGTTATTTGTCACTATTATGTCAAATATTATTACTTTAAGTTATGTCTTGACTAAGCTCAAATTCACAACCTCCCACTCACAATGTTTTTGTGTCCACCTTATTGTTAGTTAAGCTAAATGAATCTTTAGTCTTAATTGATAAATTAAATATATAATTTTTAATCACACACATATATATATTAATAAATATATTATTTAAATTTACTTTTTTTTAACATTATATTTATTAATATGGTAAAATTAATTTATATATAATACTTATGTCTATTATATTTTATTTTAAAAAAATTATTTTCAATAATAAATTTAATATTAAATTTAAAAATATTATACTGTCATTATATATTTTATTATAATTTGTATCTATATAATATATAATTTTTTAAATTTTTAAATTTTTTATTAATATCTTTTATTTTATTTTTATTTTTAAATAAGAATAATTAAGTATACAATTTCTATTATTATTAATGTAAAGTTTGTAAATTATTTATTTAATATAGCATAATAATAAATTATTAAATAAATCATATATAATATATATTATAAAAAATTAAATTAAATTAAATTAATTTGTGATAGAATTGGCAATGAAATTATGACAGAAAGCTTTGTGATTAAATTTTTGTCGCATATTTTGTCACTAAATTAAAATAAGATGTCCTAACAATTTGCACTGGAATATTTTGTAAGTAAATTTTATAGATAAATTATTTTTAGATAAGCGACGAAATGATGACAGAATTTTTGCAATAGAACATTCCACTGCTAAATTTTATTAATTATGTAGTGATGAATTTCATTGCTAATTCACTATTTTTTTGTAGTGATGAATAGGGCCTTTAAATTACATATTGGTTTCTAGAAATTTTGAGATACACAATAGATAGTAGTTCTTTTATTTTTTTTTTTGGGTAATTGTACAGGTTGAAGGTGAATATTTCAAGGTAAACAAGGAACTAAGAGATAAGACTCTCGAAGTGAGGTATTAATTAATTTATATGCTGTTAGATATTTTTTATAATCAGAGATGCTATAATTTGTTTATTGTTGATTCAAATATGTTGTTCTACATCTAATTAAAGACGGCTCAATGGAGAAGAACTGCAAGACTTGTCCTTAAAAGACCTAAGAAAACTAGAAGATTTACTCAGCACAAGCTTGCATCGAATTTCAAAAGCAAAGGTTTGTCTTTTTCCCTTTTTCAGAGCACCATTTTGATTTAATTTGTATGGTTTAGATTATCACCATTTGATCTCTCCGCTTTTTAGTTTTTCAATGTAGCAACATAGAATATGAGAAATAAATGACGTAAAAATTATATATGGTGAAGATCTCAATTGGCTAAATTGAATATTGAATTTTCAATATAAAGGAGGGATTAGATCGCGTGGAACTATAAGAGAGAAGAAGTTAAGGCTAGTGATGTAGAGAACTTGCTCCATTTCTCTTGGTTTTTTTTTTGTTTTTTTGTTTTTTACACTTCTTTGCCTCCTATCAAAGCTATCGTTGCTTCTTCTCTTCTTTCTTCTAAGCGGAAAAGGAATTAGAAAACTAGGGTTTATAGTGGGCAGGGCTTGCTTTGTGAAATGATTAATATATTAATATATATACTTTATGAAATCGTTAGTATATTAAAAATTTAAAATTAAATATCTTTTCTAAAAGGAATTATTCAGACACATGAGGATAACCATATATGGGTAATTTAATCTCTTGTAAATATCATTTGCCCTTTTGGTCTATGCTGATGTTGAGTGGCCCTTTTCTACCAAAACTTCTGATATTATACGTTTTTGCTACTATTTTCCCTTAACTTTGCTTGATTCTGATTAAACCATAAAACTGTAGAATTCTTTACATGTTGATTTTTATGAATTTTCATGGTAGTCCCTTTGGAATTTTGCGATGTTACATAAGCATCCTCTTTTCTAACTCACTATTTAAAAAGCGAATTTCTTGTGCCAAAAAAAGAAGCAAACTTTGCATGAAATCATCAAAACTCTCAGTTTGTTTAAGTTGAAAAACTATGGGAAAAGTCTCCTCAAAATCCACACCTTGTTCTAAGTATCCTCTAGAAACAAAGTGAGCTTTGTGCTCTTAATTTCTTCCATTAGTGTTATACTTCATCATTTGGAATGCCCAATGGAGCCCTTTAACATTTTTGGCCTTCAAGAACATCATCCAACTCCCATGTTGGCTTTTTGAATGTCTTGCATCTCTATCATATCACCTTGTGATGATCCCAATTTTTCTATTGCTTCTTCAAAAGAAGTTGGGTTAGAGACATACACAACAAAACCACAAAAGCATAGAAAACTATAAGAAAAGGAACATTTAATTTGTTCACCTGAAATGCCCTCTTTGTACTCGTTTCTTGGGGTTTATTATATTTAGCCTACTTTCGTGGGCTAACAAAGCACCCATTGATTTATCAGTAGAAATAACATGTAAATTATGAAATAGCATGTAGGTTCCTTACAGTTGTGATTCATTTGGCTTAAAGCTAAGACACAATAACAAAAAACAGTAAAAGTAGGTAGAGTAAATCAAATAATGAGATTTATCTTGGTTTGTTAGTCTTACTGCCATGTCTGCTAAAGAATACTACTAGAGAGATGAGAGATTAATTTTTCCTACTAAAAAAAACATGATTAAAAATGATGGTTTTTCTTATGCTCACTAGGTAGCAACTTGCAATTTTCAACTATCATAAAACTTATGAACTCAAATGAAGGTTTATCTTGTGCTCATCAACAATGCATGGTTTCCTAACTCACCTCCAACCACAGGATCTAGCTTACCCTAATATGATACAATGTGATTATGTGAATACCATAAGTGTATAGGTTACATTAATAATAAAGTGATGAGTGCAATATCGTTCCTGCATGAGAACTCGGTATGTTCAAATAACAATGTTGAGCATTAACTTAACACATTCATTTTTAATTTGCACAAGATATATACAACTAATTGATTGTATGTTCAAAGTTAACACAACCACTACGGTTAAGGGCAACTGAGAGTTAATAATTCGCTCATGGTTTTCACTTACTCTTTTGAAAACTCAATTTCTTGTCACTATGTACCAACTCTTGTCAATTACTGTCTCTAGTCTTTTTTTAGCCATCTCACAAGGATTTTTTTTAAAAGAATCTAAAATATGAAATAATCTAGCCAAATAGTATCATTATCATTTTAAAGCTCTTTGATTCTTAAAAATACTGAAATTAAATGTTTGAAAATTTTCTAGATGTAATAATTAAAATTTAACTTTTGGCACTCCAAATCAAACCCTAAAACCTTCAAAGGACAATATATAATATAAAATTAGAGCAGATTGATATTTTTTGCTATTCATTACAACATTGTCTCTACCTTTTTCATGCATTCCTATTCCATTTATTCTTGGTTTGGATGGAGGAAAAAAAAAATAGAGATGAGGGAATAAAAAATTATTATTTTTAAAAGTTTTACTTCCTAGTATTCTCTTCTATCTATTTTCCTCCCACTTTTAAACTTCCCTCTATCCAAACCAAGCAAGCAATTTATGGAATTATGTGTACGGCATGGTAATAATTAAAACTGAAATTAATTCTATGCATTTCAGGTTGAAGTATATGAGCAGGAGATCAATATTCTTCAAAAAAAGGTTAGAAGTAATGTTTATTTGGCAGAATTAAAGCATCCTATGCATTTTGTCTTTTCCCCTCTATTGTAATAAGAAATTATTGATAATCTCTAGGGTTAGTGTTAAGAAATTTTAATTTTTCTAGTATTTGCTAACATATAAGATATTTAAATTAACTTTTTTTGGCAAATATATATATATATATATTAAAGAAAATTAAGGACCAAAAATATGAAATATATGTATTATATAATTGTCATAGATAGAGAATAATTATCTGACCAAAAATATGAAATATATGTATTATATAATTGTCATAGATAGAGAATAATTATCTTTTCATATAAGTCTTCTATAAATCTTATATATATATATATATATATATGTATGTATGTATGTATGTATGTATGTATTTATCAAACTCCTCACCCCTCGAACAAAAACATAAACCACCAGCTACTCCTTCTATACTTTTTATCTTTCATCTAAAGTTTTTCTTGATACTTTAATCAGGTTTTATTTTTAGTCTTTATAATATATTTTTATGGTTTTTCATCACTAAGTCATCTAATGGGTTTAACGACATTAAGTCTATCTCAGTAAAAAGTAACGCCATTTTGACTATTGCATGGTCCTTATTAGTAGCGTAATATCTAAGGCACTCCCTTCATTTACTTCATGATTTAACGATGTTAAGTCTATATCGAAAAAAGAAGAAGAAGAAAAAAAATCATTTCTTTGACCATTCAAATAAGCCCTTGTTTAATAAAGATTGCAAATATCACAAATCACATGTTCCAAGATACAAAAATTCAAACTTCATAAACTCACATATAAAACTAAGACTCTCATGCATTTTTCTAAATACACAAAGTCAACGCTTTAAATATGCACAAAAACTACACATTGGACATCTAATCAAGTATAATTAGATCTAAAATACAAGATACTTTAATAAAAAAATAAAATTTTATTAATTATACTTGTTCCAGTACTACCCTTTCCTCCTTATTATAAATAAATAAATGTATATATATATATATATATATGTATGTATGTATATCTATTCAATGTCTCACAAATAAGGTTAGATTAAATGAGATGTATTTTTGAAATTTTATTTATTTTTTAAAAAATAAAATTGTAAAGTATATTTAATAAATTTTATTAGTATGTGTAATTTTGTCAAAATCTATCTTATAAATTGAGACGAAAAGAGTATTAATGACAAAATGGGAGCAGGGTAGTACATCTCTTAATACCACTGTTTCTTCTAACCTATCATCTTTCTCTTCAATTAATCTTATTTCTCATTCTCTTTCATATGACGAGGGGATTGAATGAGGGCATTTCAATCAACATATAGTAATATTTTAAAAAGATTTCTTAATCTTTGTGTATAACATTAAGTAACAATAGATATGAAATGGTTGTAGGAATATTTTATTCAATGGAACAACCTGGGCTTAGTACGTTGTGAGTCTTCATTCATGTCTCTGTTTTGTTTTGATAATGTGTTTCATTTTGATGTCAATAAAGGAAGCCGAACTCACAGAAGAAAACCAGAGACTAATTAAGGTGGTCAGGTTCTTGTCATTAATTCTCTCATTAATTTCTTATTAATGTGTCTTCATAGTGATAATGTCTCATTTTTCATGTTTTTAAACTTAATTCCAATTCAGGAAATCAAATCCATGGAAGAAAACGAGACATTAGATCAGGTACTTAGGTTTTAGATTCTTATGTTTCTCGTTTTCTTCAGTTCTTATATGGAAATTGTATCAAACTGGGAAATAAAATTGTGTTGATAATAGGCCCAATGGTTTGAGCATGAACAAGGCCAGGCATTAGACAGTTCTTTCACAATGAGGTAAGTTACCATAACCTCCTTTGTGAGAGCTGTGTTTTATTACTTACTTTTTTTTTATGGACATGATTGTAAGCCGAGTTTCCAGTTATTGTAGATTAATTATTTTAATCTAGATAATATAATTTTTAGTCTATAAATTTTCTATCAATTATTAATTTAGTCCTTTAATATAATTTTAACCCACTACAATTCAATCCTTGCAATTTATTGAGCTAAAGAATTATAGAGATTAAGTTGTATCGAATCAAAAATTATAATGATTGGATTGTTCCAAGTTAAGAAATTTGTGACTGATTAGAGTCAAGCAATTATAATGACATAGCCATCCCAATTCAAGAAACTAAAAGGATTGAGTTTTTTAAGTCCAAGTTCAAGAATTGAATCAATAATTGAGAACAAATTCAAGGACCAAAAGTTAAATTTTCTCATTTCAGCTCCTCAAAAACATGTATTATTTGATAGTGTATTGTATAAAAATTGTCTTGGATACTAAAAAGCACTTAGTTCAATTAGTTAAGAGAGTTGAATTAATTTATCCTAAGGTCAAGTTCAAGTCTAGGATATGCAATCTCGTAAATAAATATGTCAAAAACATCCATATTCCTTAAGGTACCTATAACCTACCATTAGTAACAACAGTATCACACAGCAAGGATTTGGATTAGTCTAGACAAGTGGTAGTAATATCCCAAGTTTTCTATGATATTGGCTGAGGGAATGAAAATATACTGGCCTGGAGCTCAAGCTAAACATCACTTTTTACAACTTTTGAATAACTCTTACACTTACACATCTAAAAATTTGATACGATTTTGTTAACCTCATATTAATATAGTTGTACATGACAATGAACTTTTTGATGTTATGCCCTTGTGTCTTACATGAATATGATTTGTGATTCATATAGGTGAGTTTATCTATACTTAAACACTAAACAATTAGGATTATCACTTTTTATTAATTATCATTTTATTTATTGAATGGCAGGTTACTCTTTCCCTGAATCAAATTAAAGCCTCTAAAGGAAGAAGAGCAATGCCAGAACTTTTTAAAAAAAAATTATGCACTGAAAACTGAAGTACAGTGCTTGATTAATTATGAATAATGGCCAATAATGTTATATATATGTGGATAGCTCTGTTTCAACTTAATTAGTTATTCTAGATTCGTAAGGTTGGAGGACAAACTAGCTTAATTAAAGCCTCTAAAGGAAGAAGAGCAATGCCAGAACTTTTTAAAAAAATTATGCACTGAAAACTGAAGTACAGTGCTTGATTAATTATGATAATGGCCAATAATGTTATATATATGTGGATAGCTCTGTTTCAACTTAATTAGTTATTCTAGATTCGTAAGGTTGGAGGACAAACTAGCTTGTTCAGTTGAACTATGCTATTTTGCATTATTCATGAAGAAAATAAAAGTTCAAGGAAAATGTGTTGAGATGGCATGAATTTTCAAAGATTTTTTTTTTTTTGGGTAAAGCTTTATAAAGGCTAATAGGTACTAAAGTGGGAAAGATTACCTCATGACAATAATAGAAAGATTATTTTATCAAAAGTTTAATTTGATCTATGTCATGCCCCAAAAGTAGAGGGTGACTGGCACATTTGTGATCCATTTTGCACATTCCGATAAGCCTAAAAATAAAAATTTATTTCTTCTTTCAAAAATAGAATCAAATAGTATGAAAGTTCTTACAATTCTGATACTAATTGTCATAAAAAAGTTTTAATATTTTTGTAGAAATTTTGACAAAACCTCCCTTATAAATAGGGTCTCCCAAAAATTATACAATAAAATTTTCACAGAATACAGTATTAGTTAGGAGCTAGCTCCTTCTAACCAACAAACAGTACAAATATCAAAATAAAGTCTTAATAACAATATGTGTGGAGCAATTAGTCTTTTCTTCTAAATCAAAATACATACTACTTAAATATTTACATAAAAAAGTAAAAATAGCAAACAAAATTTTCACCCAATGTAGGTGGATTGTCCTTCAGAGGTTAATGGTGGGATCAGTGTTAGCTAATAAATCTGAGACCAAACATAAATTTTTTTAATGAATAGCATTTCCAAATTAAAATTTAAAAGAATTAATTAATAAACTCAAATAATAATGTAAACTAATTGAAAGGATGATAATTCAATATAATAAACTTATAAGTATGTAAATCATAATCATAGCTGTAAAATAAGAGAAAATTTGAAAGTAATTTAGTTTGTCATGCTTAAAGGAAACAATTTATTCACACATATATCAAAATAACATACTTGCTAACCAAAACCACTGAAATGTTAAAACACCTATTAACCAAAATTTAAAATTATGAGAACTCAACAAAACAATTAACAAACATAGACACATAATCCATAAGGATAAATAACCAAACATAGTTTATGCCACAAAGACAAGCGTAGACACACAGTTCACGCGAGTAAATAACCAAACACAGCTGAAGTCATAAAATAAACGTAGACATCCAGCCCACGAGGGTAATACTAATCAAAGGCGGCTTAAGGCCACAAAATCAAACGTGGGTATAAAATCCATGAATAAAAACGTGGGAATAAAGCTCACGAGATAAACTAGCTAGTTTTTAACCACAGTGCACTACAGGCTAACCAAACTGCTGTTAGTAGCAGTGTTCTATTCGAAGTCCTCTTAATAATCACGCTTCAAACATGTGAGAAAAATAATCACATTTGAAAGATAATTTACATTTTCAATACCCATCTTGCATAAGGCATAATCAATATTTCATAATTTTCAAAATTAATGTAATTCATAAGAGTAAATATTTTAATAAAGTCTATTAAAATAAAATAAATTAAAAGCGATGCTATTCACTTACTTGTCCGAGTTTCAATTCTCAAAGATCTTCTTTTTTAATCCTGTTAGAGTCTTACTCTTCTACACATCTTCTTATGAGCATAAAAATAAATACAATTTTAATAAATTTTTAATTTATTACATAATCTCAACCACACACCATCATTTACACATTCCACAACCAAAATTCAAAGTGTCCAAATACTATTCATATCACTAGTCTACTCCAACGTTTTTTAACCATGCCAATCCCTTATTATTATTTTTCTTTCTTGAGACACAATGCTCTCTTAATCTTTGCACCAAATACCTAAGGTACATTACTTCTATCTCTTCATTTTAACACATCCAATAATTACCAACAATCATTTTAATAAATTTTTAATTTATTACATAATCTCAACCACACACCCATCATTTACAAATTCCACAACCAAAATTCAAAGTTAGTCCAAAACGACTATTCATATCACTAGTCTACTCCAACTTGTTTTAACCATGCCATCCCTTATTATTTTTTTCTTCTTGAGACACAATGCTCTCTTAATCTTTGCCACCAAATACCTAAGGTATATTACTTCTATCTCTTCATTTTAAAACATCCAATAATTACCAACAATCAAGCAAAACTCCAATCTTCAAATAACTACATGTAGCTCATAATCAAATTTCTTTAAAAGTCTACAAATCTATTCATAATTCAATTACTTCTAAACTAACATACCTCCTCCTACTAATCATTTATTGAATAGTTATGGCATAATTACCAAGCTAAGATAAATTTTTCATTCTAGATTCAGCATCCTTAACCCTTACAAAGTTAATAATCCAATTATTTTAAATAAAACTTCAAGCTACAACATCATCTCTTTCCTTCTACACTTGCAATTACTATTTAAATAAAAAATCTCCTTCCTCCACATGCACGTATAGCCACAGTAACAAGGGAGTCAAATTTTCTTTTTTCAACTTTAATAATCAAATCACACATTACTACCAAGAGGAAAGCAACTCGTGAAGCTCCCTTACTTCCAGCAATCGACAACGCACATATAGGAAAGAGAAAGCAAAAGACTCAAACACGGATGACAAAAGTGGAATAGCAAACGGAGAAAGAGAGACAGAGGTGGGAGATGTGAAACTGAACCTCTTAGAAGTTTCTAACTTGTGACACGTCTCTATTTAAATGCTCCCTTGATAATGATATTTACATGAAAATCCTAAAAAGATTCAAATATCTAGAAGCAAACAATTAAGGTTGTTAAGAATAATGCTTAATCAAGTTAAATAAATCCCTTTATGGTTAAAATAATTGGGCACATGTAGTACAATTGCCTACTAAATATTGATAGAGAAGGGATATAATAATGACCAATTATTTGTCTATGCATTTCCTTAAAGATCTTAAAATGAGAAGAAAATAATCTTCATTTGTGTTAATGACATAAATATTATTAGAACTCCTACAAAGCTTTATACGAATTGCTTATGTCACACCCCCAAAAAATGGAGGGGTAACTGGCACAGGATGTGAATCATATAACACATCTCCGTAAGCCTCTAATCTTAAACTCATTTTATTTCTAAAATATAATAAAAATTTATATTATATTTTTACATTTTTGGTATTGGTCATCATAATAAAGTTTAAAAAAATTGTAAAAATTTGTGATGAAACTTCGTCTATAAATAGGATCTTCCAAAACTCTACAATACAGAAATATTACAGAATATCATGTCAGTCAAGAGCTTAGCTCTTCCAACAAATAGACAGCATATATACCAAAACAGAAGCCCTAGACATAGCATATGTGGAGCAACTAACTAGACCTCTCCAAAATAAACATACATAAGCATTGATAGTTACATAAAAAGGGAAATTTCGATCAGTTCTTTACCCAGCACATCTATGAGTTCTCATGGATCAACGGGAGAATCGGTGTCAACTAGGACATCTGAGACCAAAAATAATTTTCCAGTGAATAACGTCCCAACAATAAATAATTGAATATAACAAAAGATTTAAACAATTATGTCAGTTAAAAAGGCAACGATCTTTATAAAAATTTAGTAAACTTCGAAATAAAATGATTCTATAAAATTTTAAATAAAATCTCGAACCATTAAAATCTTATAATAAATAATATTATCACTTGATTGCAAAGAAGCAAATAAAAGAAATTAATAATTATAAATAATTTACTATTTAAAACTAATGGGATGTAAAATTATCAAATAATCAAATTCATATAATAAGGACTTATCAGAACAATTAATAAACGTGGACACACAGTCCATGAAAGTAAATAACCAAACGCAGCCGAAGCCACGAAACAAACATGGACACCTAGTCCACAAGGGTAATGCTAACCAAACGCGGCTTGAAGCCACGAAACAAACGTGAGTACAATGCTCACGAATAACCATCCCTCCGTTCCACGTGCATTGGCCATCGCATGGGGCTAGCACCTCCTATATACACCCTGCTAGCTAGGTGTACCATGGCGCGCCAAGGGCTAACGGAACTGCCGTTAGCAATCAGTGTTCTATATAAAGTTCCTTTTTTTAAAATCATTTTCAAACATGCGAGAAATTGATCACCATTCCATCAAATTTTTCTTTTCAATGTCGAACTCACATGAATCATTTTTCCGTAACAATTCGATAATTTCCAAATTGAAATCCCACATTTAGAATTCAAACTTACATTTACTGATTAACTAAAATAATCAATTCTGATGAAATAATTTCATGAAATAATATAATTTAATCAATAAAATATCTCATAATCACATTGTTGTCGTAAAAAGAATTTGCATAAAAATATAATATTTGAATAAAAGAGATTTTAATGAAATATCAGTTGGGACGCTATCCACTTACCTGAAAATTTTTCAAATAAGTAACTTACTTCTAACTGATCCTCTTCCAGTAATGCTTGCTCTTTAAATCCTAGTGCCCAAGAAATACCATTGTTATTTTCTTTTGTAGATCTTATCATCATCATCATCAGTCTAAAATAATCAGAAAGTAACACAGATAACTCTTAACTTTCAACATTTTTCAAACATTTCATAGACATTCTAATGACTAATATCTTAATAACAAATTGGCTCTTGAATTACTAATTCATAATATTATTTCCAAACTACTCTTATTTCTAATTTCAACTTTTTGTATAGAGAATAATTCTCGTCCATAACAATTTAATTATCAATAATACAATCATCACATATATTCCCCATCATCCACCAATATTCATCCTTTCCAGCATTTTGTCAAACATCTTATAGGCACTAATTTTTAAATTTTAATAGTAATTTCTTCCTTCAAATACCATC